GTATCTTTATTGTGAAACGTTTCGCCTACACAGTAGGCTTCTTCAGTCAAGTACAGGAAAGGTTGTGTCTTACCTAACAACCTGTCGGTATTTTATAGCATTTTAATGTTCAATCTGTCAGACACTGCAACACAAGGGTATCTTGGTACAGACCTGCAATCAACTTCGACAACTTCCACTAGTGAGAGGGGCTGGATTTGAGAGGGACCTCTCAACATCTGAGTTCTTACCTCTCCTACGTCTCACCTCTTGGCGCTATAAAAGCTCCATCCTGTCACTTCTTCTCCATATTGTTTCATACTTTGGAACAATGCTCTTCTCCAGACTGAGGGACTGACCACCTCAAAACTTTAAGGGTGATGGACTGATTACATCGTCTTCAAGTATCTTCTGCTTCTATCAACCTTTCCTGTACTTGACTGAAGAAGCCTACTGTGTAGGCGAAACGTTTCACAATAAAGATACCTAACTGTTGCATATGTGTCTTACCTAACAACCTGTCGGTATTTTATACCATTTTAATGTTCAATCTGTCAGACACTGCAACACAAGGGTATCTTGGTACAGACCTGCAATCAACTTCGACAACTTCCACTAGTGAGAGGGGCTGGATTTGAGAGGGACCTCTCAACATCTGAGTTCTTACCTCTCCTACGTCTCACCTCTTGGCGCTATAAAAGCTCCATCCTGTCACTTCTTCTCCATATTGTTTCATACATTGGAACAATGCTCTTCTCCAGACTGAGGGACTGACCACCTCAAAACTTTAAGGGTGATGGACTGATTACATCGTCTTCAAGTATCTTCTGCTTCTATCAACCTTTCCTGTACTTGACTGAAGAAGCCTACTGTGTAGGCGAAACGTTTCACAATAAAGATACCTAACTGTTGCATATGTGTCTTACCTAACAACCTGTCGGTATTTTATACCATTTTAATGTTCAATGAAGTGCTCCTACTATGTAGTCATCCACAACTCCTCTGACTAGTCCTCTCGTCTCCTCAAAACTCCATTGCTTTTTGTTGAACACTGCAATTCCTCCTTTCCCCCTGTTCCCCCTGTCTTTCCTCTGGATCTGATATTCAGACAAGAAGATTGCTTCCGTTATCACTTCCGTAAGCTTTGTCTCTGTGATTGCTATGATGTCCAGGGATGCCTCGGTGATTCTTTCCTGCAACTCCTCACTCTTATTTGTAATTCCATCTGCAATGGTGTACCATACCTTCAGCTTCCTTTCTATAACTGTATTCTGGAAGGTGGGATGGGTTAGTGCTGGCTGTGGGTGTAGTAGGCAGGTCTGGATATTATGGTAATCCGCTGGTGTTTCAGTATTAGTGCTGTAAAGTAAAAGGACACAAGTGCAACTAATGTGACATTTATTGTAGCAACGTTTCGCTCTCCAGGAGCTTTATCAAGCTTGATAAAGCTCCTGGAGAGCGAAACGTTGCTACAATAAATGTCACATTAGTTGCACTTGTGTCCTTTTACTTTACATATTGTCGGTAATTCTACCAACTTTATTACAGTATTAGTGCTGGGGGGGGGGGGAGAGACTGTGGGTGTGGAATGTGGCTTGGCTCTGGGTATTGTGTTTGGTCAGTGTGGGGTTGAGGGGATGCTGTGGGTGGTTCTGTGGGCGGTTGTGTTTGCTGTTCTTTTCGAGGCTGTGCTCCTCTGTCTGTCGGTACCTGCCTTGTCCCCCCCTTCCTGCCTCTGGTGCCTTCTTACTCTTTCTCTCAGTTGTTCCCTTCCTTTATGTGTTCTGTTGCTGTCGAGGTACACTCACTGGTATTTCTGGGAACCCTTTAACAATGTGTGTATATACTCACCTATATGTGGTTGCAGAGGTTGAGTCATAATTTGTGGCCCTGTCTCTTCACTGGTCATTACTAGGTCCACTCTCTTCCTGGTTCAAGAGTTTTATCATTCCTCTTCTTAAAGCTATATATGTATCCTGCCTTCACTACATCATTCTCCAGATTGTTCCACTTTCTGGGGTCTGTGTGTGTGTGTGTGAACAGTTCACAGGTGGTGAGTGTGAGAGTCATAGACTGTCAGATGGTAGTCACTGCTAGTGCATTAATCACTGTGAATGGTGGTATTTTCCATTACGTTGTCACCAAGAACGTAATGGAAGTGTGGCTCGTTCCCAGGGTGGGAGCGGAGAGGTAGAGTAACAAGAAATTCAGCGGTGACTGCGAGCAGTCTAGTGTTTCGACGAGCATGACTCAGTGTTGCCTGTGGCAATCTGTAAATGGTCCAAGTCGGACCGAAACGTAGTCATAAGCTCCTCTCTTCTATGTGCGAGTTATTTGTGTATAATACATAAGAACGTAAGAATGAAGGAACACTGCAACAGGCCTACTGGCCCATACAAGGCAGGTCCTTATGAAAACCATTCATTCCCACCCACTTATTTGTCTAAGCTTTCCCCCAAACTACCCAAGAATTTGGTAGGTAAGACACATAGGTAACTGTATTCCAAAACGTTTTGCCTACACAGTAGGTTTCTTCAGTCGAGTACAGGAAGTAGGCAGGAGCAGTAGAGATTCGAAGGCGATGCAATCAGTCCATATCCTTGGAAGTCGTAGATTTGAGGTTGTCAGTCTCTCAGCCTGGAGAAGAGTTCTGTTCCAAACTCTAAAACAATCTGAAGATCAAGCGACAGTGTAGAAACTTATATACTGCCGAAAGGAGAGGTGCAGAGTAGTAGTAGAGAGAATGTAGTCACTGAGAGGTCGCGTCCCTCTCAAATCCAACAATTCTCACTTGAAAAAGTTGTCCAAGGTGTTTTCTCTTCTGTACCAAGATGCCATTGTGTTGCAGTGTCTGACAGAGTGAATATCAAAATGTTGATGGACTGATTACATCGTCTTCGCATCTCTACTGTTCTTGCCTACCTCCTGTACCCGACTGAAGAAGCCTACTGTGTAGGTGAAACGTTTCGGAATAAAGTTGCCTAAATGTTGCCTATGTGTCTTACCTACCAACCAGACAGAAGAAGAGTTGAGAGAACAATGATACAGAGAGAGAGAGAGAGAGAGAGAGAGAGAGAGAGAGAGAGAGAGAGAGAGAGAGAGAGAGAGAGAGAGAAGGAGAGTTGAGAGAACAATGATACAGAGAGAATAAGAGCTAAGAGAACAATAATTCAGAGAAAGAGAAGGAGAGTTAAGAGAACAATGATATATAATAACAGACTTGAGATGCGAGGGGCGATTATCACGTGACTCTTCTTTCATCCCTCTCTTCCTCCTTTACCAACTTCACCCTCCTACACCTCCTCCTCCTCCTCCTCCTCCTCATCCTCATCCTCATCCTCTTCCCCCTCCGTCTTCTTTTATTCCCTCTCATTCGTCCTCTTCAGCTCTCTTCTCCGGCTCCTCATCTTTTCCCCTTCTCTTCTATCCTCTCCTATGTAGATGAATGGTTCAGAGAACCGACATGTTGATAAATTAGACACATGTGCAACTCTTGGGTATCTTTATTGAGGAAACGTTTCGCCACACAGTGGCTTCATCAGTCCACACAAAGGAGAATCTTGAAGAACAGGAGGAGAATGAGGTAATCAGTCCCTCAACCTTGAGTCGATGTGGTCAGTCCATCAATCTTGAATAGATTGATGGACTGACCACATCGACTCAAGGTTGAGGGACTGATTACCTCATTCTCCTCCTGTTCTTCAAGATTCTCCTTTGTATGGACTGATGAAGCCACTGTGTGGCGAAACGTTTCCTCAATAAAGATACCCAAGAGTTGCACATGTGTCTAATTTATCAATCATCCTCTCCTATTCCTAGTCTTCCTCATCCTCATTTTCATCTCTCTTCTACTCTTAATCTATCTCTTCCTCATTTTCCTTTTCTTTCTCTTCCTCCACCTGCTTCCTCTCTACCTCAGCCCTTCTTCTTTCTTCTATCTTTACTCCATTTACTCTCCTCCTCCCTCTCCCTCTCCCTCTCCCTCTCCTCCCCCCTCTCCCTATCCCTCTCCCTTTCCTACTCCTCCTCCTCCCTCTCCCTCTCCTACTCCTCCTCGTCCTCCTCCTCCTCCCCAACTTATTAAACGTACAGGAATCACGATACACAGCGTCGAACACAAGTTCGGTCTTGTGTAAATTACCTGGAAAGTAACATAGGACAGAGACGCAGCGTAGTGCGCCGGGCAGAACAGGTGTTATAGTGTGTGGATAGCACTTGTGAATGTTCTAGCATGCGTAGAATACACTATAGGATGTTATAGAAAATGGAGAACAGAGCAGAGGCTGTTCTAGTTAGTGTAGAACGTCCCCAAGGATGTTATGTTTATGCCGAAGGCAAATCGGGATGTTCTAGTATGTGTATAACACATATAAAGGTGTTCTAGTGATTGCAGAACACACCAGGGAGTGTTCTGAGTCGTTCTAGTGGTTGAAGAACACACTAGAGGCTGTTTATAGTAATGGAGAAAATACTCGAATATGTTCTAGCGAGTGTAGAACCCATCACCCCGGGGTGTTCTATTTTGCAGAACACTCCAGATGTTATAGTGTGTGTAAAACACTTTCGGAAGATGTTCTAGTTTATTCTAGTTACCAAAGCACTTCACGGTATGCAGCGGTGTTCTCCGTTACGCAGGACGGAACGGGAGATATCCGGTTTGGTGGGCTAAACCATGTTGTTGAATTCTGAGTGACAGTGCCAACGACACGAGCCTCACTGCAACAGTGATAACAGGAGCTGCTGCAGTTCTAGACTCCTTCATACCACTGACAACGGGAGAGTTCTTCAAGTTGCCATAAAAGGAACTGCGACAACAAGAGCAGCTACGACAGTAGCTACAACTGGAGCAGCTACAACAGGAGTAGCTACAACTGGAGCAGCTACAACAGGAGTAGCTACAACTGGAGCAGCTACAACAGGAGTAGCTACAACTGGAGCAGCTACAACAGGAGTAGCTACAACTGGAGCAGCTACAACAGGAGTAGCTACAACTGGAGCAGCTACAACAGGAGTAGCTACAACTGGAGCAGCTACAACAGGAGTAGCTACAACTGAGCAGCTACAACAGGAGTAGCTACAACTGGAGCAGCTACAACTGGAGCAGCTACAACAGGAGCAACTATAACAGGAGTAACCACAACAGGAGCAGCCATAACAGTAGTCCTTCACACCGCTTCAACAGGAACCGGAAGTTATCCGCCCTTGAGGGTTGTGAGACGAAGTTGTCGCGCTGTGCTGTGAGTCTACCTGTTAGATATCATGTAGCAGCACTGTGCTGTGCTGTTGTGCTGTTCTGCTCGTGTAATGTGCTTGTGCGCTGTACTGTGGTGTATTAAGGTCATGGTGTAATGTGTTGTAGTGTACTGTGGTGGTGTACTGTACTGTGCTTGTGTGCTGTACTGTGGTGTACTTAGGTGCTGGTGCACTGTTGTAGTGTACTGTGGTTTACTAAGGTGGTGGTATACTGTGTTGTAGTGTACTGTGGTTTACTAAGGTGGTGGTATACTGTTATGTAGTGTACTGTAGTGTACTAAGGTGGTGGTGTGCTGTTATGTACTGTACTGTGGTGTACTAAGGTGGTGGTGTACTGTTATGTAGTGTACTGTGGTGTACTAAGGTGGTGGTGTACTAAAGTGGTGGTGTACTATGTTGTAGTGTACTGTGGTGTACTAAGGTTGTGGTGTACTGTGTTGTAGTGTACTGTGGTGTATTAAGGTGGTGGTGTACTGTGTTGTAGTGTACTGTGGTTGTACTAAGGTGGTGTGTACTGTGTTGTAGTATACTGTGGTGTATTAAGGTGGTGGTGTACTGTGTGTGTAGTGTACTGTGGTGTACTGTGGTGTACTGTGGTGTACTGTGCTGTACTGAGGTGGTGGTGTACTGTGTTGTAGTGTACTGTGGTGTACTAAGGTGGTGGTGTACTGTGTTGTAGTGTACTGTGGTGTACTAAGGTGGTGGTGTACTGTGTTGTAGTGTACTCTGGTGTACTAAGGTGGTAGTATACTGTGTTGTAGTGTATTCTGATGTATTAAGGTGGTGGTGTACTGTGTTGTAGTGTGCTGTGGTGTACTAAGGTGGCAGTGTGCTGTGTTGTAGTGTACTCTGGTGTACTAAGGTGGCGGTGTACAGTGTTGTAGTGTGCTGTGGTGTACTAAGGGTGTGGTGTACTGTGTTGTAGTGTACTGTGGTGTATTAAGGTGGTGGTGTACTGTGTTGTAGTGTACTCTGGTGTATTAAGGTGGTGGTGTACTGTGTTGTAGTATACTGTGGTGTACTGTGTTGTAGTGTACTGTGGTGTGCTGAGGTGGTGATGTACTGTGTTGCAGTGTACTGTGGTGTACTAAGTATGGTGGTGTGTATGTGTTGTTTAGTTGTGTACTTGTTGTGTACTAAGGTGATGGTGTGTTACTGTGTTGTAGTGTACTGTGGTGTATTAAGGTGGTGGTTGTACTGTGTTGTAGTGTACTGTGGTGTATTAAGGTAGTGGTGTACTGGTGTTGTAGTGTACTGTGGTGTATTAAGGTGTGGTGTACTGTGTTGTAGTGTACTGTGGTGTATTAAGGTGGTGGTGTACTGTGTTGTAGTGTACTGTGGTGTATTAAGGTGGTGGTGTACTGTGTTGTAGTGTACTGTGGTGTTTAGGTAGGTGGTGTGTACTGTGTTGTAGTGTACTGTGGTGTATTAAGGTGGTGGTGTACTGTGTTGTAGTGTACTGTGGTGTATTAAGGTGGTGGTGTACTGTGTTGTAGTGTACTGTGGTGTATTAAGGTGGTGGTGTACTGTGTTGTAGTGTACTGTGGTGTACTAAGGTGGTGGTGTACTGTGCTGTGAATCTACGTTTTGATAAATTAGACACCTGCAACACCTGAGTACCTTTATTTTGCAAATGTTTCACCAACCAGTGGGTGAATCAGTATAGTAAAGTGACATAAACGGAAGACTTGTGTTTATGTCCCCGTTACCGTATTAACCGAGCCACTGGTTGGCCACACAACTACAAAATAAAGTTACCGAGATGTTTGGCATGTGTCTAATTATTAGCTTGTATACCATCGATAAATTACTGGTGTACTGTGCTGTGGTGCATGTGTACAGTGCTGTGGTGCATTGGTACTGTGATGTGGTGCATGTGTACTGTGCTGTCGTGCCTGTGTACAGTGATGTGGTGCATGTGTACTGTGCTGTGGTGCATGTGTACTGTGCTGTGGTGCATGTGTACTGTGCTGTGGTGCATGTGTACTGTGCTGTGGTGCATGTGTACTGTGCTGTGGTGCATGTGTACTGTGCTGTGGTGCATGTGTACTGTGCTGTGGTGCATGTGTACTGTGCTGTGGTGCATGTGTACTGTGCTGTAGTGCATGTGTACAGTGCTGTGGTGCATAGGTACTGTGTTGTGGTGCATGTGTACAGTGCTGTGGTGCATGTGTACTGTGCTGTGGTGCATGTGTACTATGCTGTGGTGCATGTGTACTGTGATGTGGTGCATGGGTACTGTGCTGTGGTGCATGTGTACTGTGCTGTGGTGCATGTGTACTGTGCTGTGGTGCATGTGTACTGTGCTGTGATGCATGTGTACTGTGCTGTGGTGCATATGTACTGTGCTGTGGTTCTGGCGTGATGCTCTGGCTTGCATTCTAATACACTTTATAACATTCAACTCTACGTATTGTTTTGGTATGATACGCATATGGAACAGGCCGGCAGAGGAACATATCTGATGTGCAGTAATTTCTTGGTATCAAACATTAATGGCAGACAGTACAGACAAACTGATATAAAGAAACAAGTGTAGCTCAGATCCGTTTCGCCTCTGCAGCAGGCTTCTCCAGTGGAATAAATAGGAGACTTTTACAGTGGAGACAGTGGAAGACGTGGGGAGATCATTATAAGGTGTACAGTCCCTTAGCCTTTAAAAGCATTCAGTCGAGTTTTATGAAGTGTTCAGTCCTTGACTGATTGATAGGTGTTCGATCTCCTTGACAGATTATCCCTGATTCAGGCGGTTATGTAGAGTAAGTGAGTACTTCGTACTTGACAAAGATATGTGAATCACAGACTGCTTTGCAGGCAAAGTGTTATGTTCAGAAAGTTATAGTGTGGTGCACATCACAAGAACAGTGTTATGTTCAGAAAGTTATAGTGTGGTGCACATCACAAGAACAGTGTTGTGTTCTGAAAGTTATAGTGTGGTGCACATCACAAGAACAGTGTTGTGTTCTGAAAGTTATAGTGTGGTGCTGCTGGCAGCGTAATCACGAAGATGGTAGCTACAGAACAAGCTTTTAGTGGCAGTATGTTTCGCTCTGTGGAGCGAGAGCACTGCACATTACGAAACGTTGTCCCTTTAAAAAAATTCTGCAATTTGTGTTTTTTCCTGTTATTTTTCTGCTGCAGTGAATGCGCAGAATGAAAAAGTATTGTAAATATTGAGAACCTTTCTTCCGATCGACTTCAAACTTCCTGGTTAGGGGAAGATTCAGATTGTGGCTGGAGTGTACAGGCCTAAGTTGGATAATTTTATTTTTGATATCGTGTGCCTTACTTTTACTAAATAATAACACGAGAGTGTTATTATTGGTCAGAAAGTCTCAACCTTGAGAGACTGACGCGTCTACCCTGAAGCAAGATTAGTTGTACTTTTCGACTGTGTAGGTTCAATTTTTTTCAAATTTACAAAGTTAAAGAGTGATTGGTTTCACCGCAATAACTAGAGAATGCTTCTTCTAATCGACTTCAAACCTTCAGATCTGGTGTATTTTACTCACGTGAAGGTTTTCATTTTTTTTTTGAGGGGGGAGCAGCTAATTTGCTAATTTACAGTAAATAAATTTTAATTTAGACTTCAGTGCCATAACTGGAGAATGACTATGCTGATCGCCTTCACACTTTCACGGCTGGTGTGTCGTAGAGGAAGATTTGGATTGTTTTTGGAATATTTAGTTGCTAAATTGTTAATTTTATTAAGAAATTTTGAAAATTGAGACATTGGGTTCCATCAGGATCGGCGCCAGAATTTCTGTACCAGGAAGAAGGGAACTTAGGGGGAGAATAAGAGACGAGTTTTTAGAGGGTTGAGCTATAGCCCCTGGGTCTATTGGGGGGGGTTTAGCTGCGGCTCCCTAGCCTCTTTGGAGGGTGAATTATAGTACAGCTGTGCGTGCACTGATGTACAGGTGTCTGGGGGTCTGGGATGCCTGTGAGGACTCGCTAGAGTTGTAATGGTTAGACTGTCTGGGAAATGAGAGATAATCGTGTTTGATCCATAAAAAGAATGGGTAACTCCAATTCTTTGGAGGGATATGAATGGTAATAAACATCTGTGAGAAATGCTCGCTGGAAATTCATGAAATGCGTGAAATACTAGAGGGAAATGTGGAAAGTAATTTTATAGGTAACGTAAAAAGAAATATATGTAAACATGCAAAACAACACAGGGGGAAGTTGAAGGATGCCTTTATGCCTTTCGTGGTGTAAGCAACACATCTTCAGGAGCTTGCAATGTTTCAGAAATGAGTAGGAGTCCTAATTGATTAGTTCAGTGTTCAATTTCGTAGTCCAAGATGGGATGCCGCCCTTTTTCCCCCTCTTTACCCTATATATCATTGGTTATACATTGCTAATTTATCCAGTCTTGATAAATAAATAAATATGCTTCCTTGGTTACGTAAGGTGGTACGCAGGCAGCCATTCCTCACACCGCTGACATAGAGTAAACAATCACTGATAATTATTGAACAACACAGTGAACAATCGAAATAAACAGCCATGGAAGCGACCACAATAACAAGAAAATAAATACTCTATACACATTCAGAGGTTTTATTCATAAAAAAAATATTTTTTTATCTAGTTTACATTCACTGACCAAGTTTACAATTACGTTTACATCTTACAGGTATTAAACTCTTATCAAAATTTTCTTCTGTGTCTCAGCTTCAGAAAATCATCCACGTTAAGAACCACTTAACAGTTTGTAGAGACAGACGCCACCAGTATATAAATATAGACGCCATCAGTGCTTAAAGATAAAACGTCAGTAATGTATGAAGATAGACACGAGCGGTATATAGACTTTAGCAGTGTGTAAAGATAGACGTCAGTAATGTATGAAGATAGACGCGAGAGTGTATAAAGATACACGCCAGGAATGTATAAAGATATATGCCAGAGTGTATAAAGATAGAGGCCAGCAGTGTTTAAGGCAAGACTCCTATTTGAAGGGTCACATTTTAGTACAGAGAGCAAAATGTCGACATAACAGGTAGACGTCACCAGCAGGAACTATGCAGGCAGCAAACACGAACCTTGATCCCTAACCATAAGTGACGACGTGAGTAGCCGCTATTCTTCGACAGACAGAACTAGACATCCGCATATTTTGACAGCTATCGAAGCGTACACTCATACGTCGGTGGTGCATTCACCTATCAGTCGACGCATACAGCCAGTTAAAGTAAGATGGGACGACGTAGCAAGAGGCTACGTGCTCAACTGTACCAGTACTCTCAAGATGAGACTGGATCGTACTCAGTCATCACACAGTGGCCGCCACCTTCATCCCCGTCCACACCACCGTAAGTAGATTTGTTAGTCAGTCAGTTAGTTAGTTAGTTACCATTTTGTCCTAGGCACATGTCAATTAGACACTAAGCCTGTTGTATATGCGTGCGTGTATGTGTGTGTGTCTGTAATAATAATATAATATCTTTATTTACTACAAGTACATGTATAAGGTATACAGTCCTAGCTGATATCAGTGACATACTATTACACAGAAAGCCACTTGTTATACAGAGCATTTCGGACAAATTAGGTCAGTTTTGTCCCACACCAGTCGACTAACATCCAGGTACCCATTTTACAGATGGGTGAACATAGACAACCGGTGTAAGGAAACACGTCCACTGTTTCCACCCCTTCGCCGGGAATCGAACCCGGACCTTCACCGTGTGAAGCGAGAGCTTTTGCCACCAGGCCACGGGGCGCATGCACATAACTCTTCTCACTTTGTGTAGATGGAGCTCACCTTTCTGCATCCCAACTTCTCGGGTTTTGTTGTATATACTTGTGAATTCTTGTATGAATATTCCCCCTAGTTATTGAATGCCTCTTTTATCTGTCATGTTATGGTCTCTAAGTGTACATTTATGTGCTCCTGTGATCAGCTGTCTGTGTAGCAGAAATATTACGGAGGAAACAACTTTATTAAAGAAAACTTATAGTGGTTGTCTGAATTATTTTTTCTTCATACAAAGTTTTCGTTGAAAACTTCAGATCAGCAAATACGATGAACTTTTTATTTTCAGCGGTAGTGAACTATAATTAGAATTACAAGACAGTTCGTGAAACTGTTGGAAGAGCAGTTTTCTTTTTGTCAATTTTATGAAGCTTTTTCTGATTTTGGTTTCTGTGCGACAACTTGAGAAAGCCTCTTCTGAGTGGCTTCAAACTTTCAATAATGGTGTATCCTAATTGTAAGAAAGTTCACATTGTTAGAACACTGTGTACTTCCTAATTTAACACATTTATTCTTAAAATGACGTAGTATTTTTTCCATGAAGAGACTTAAGAATCGCTCATCGAAAAACTTGAATTTCTGATTGGTTTCAGCCTTCAGGGATGACTGTTTCTACTGAAAGAAAGGTTTATGTTGATAATTATAATTATTGGGCTATGTAAAATGTAATTCGCAAATTTTATTAAATTGGTTTCTCTACAATAACTGGAGAATGACTCTTCCTATCGGCTTCAAATCCGAAATTCTAGTATATCTTAAATAAAGAAAGTTTGGGAGTGTTTTTGAATAATGTGCCAATTTTCTCATTTTAATAATAAAAAATGTGGGGTATTGTCTGTGCGGCAAATTGAGAATACAACTTTTGAACAACTTCAAACATAAAAACTGGTGTAATTTGCTCATATGAATATTCGTATTGTTGTTAGTCTAGGTCTTAATCCGTCAGTTTTATTAAGCAAACAAAAATATTGATTTCTATTCAGCCCCTCGACACTCCCTCTTCCGCTTAGCTCTAAGCTTTCAAAACTTAGCTATCTTACTGAAATTTACAGATTGGTTTTGGGCTTTATAATAGCCAAATTTGGTTCAAGAATTGTTACACTAACTATATCAATAATTGCAGCAAAATGCCACTATAAGTTATGAGATGTTTTAATTCTCAACATACCACACTTATAATCTAAATCTCTCTACACTTCTTTCACATCTAGTTCGTGATATTCGCAGGACTTGCCATATTTTTATTGAAACTGAGGTATTAATTTCCATGCGATAACGTGGATTGGGATCCTCTGATCAGCTTCAAATTTTCAATATTGATATTTAACTGCATTAGAATCTTATGCTGAACTCTTTACTGTTTATTCTGTGTAGGTTAAGGTAGGCAGAACTATAACATGAAGTATGTATACATCAAGAGGTGTTTCTCTTAGTATATATACACTAAGAAATTAGATACTCTTAAACACGTCTGGTTTAAGCCTTACGAAGCTTTATCAAATCACCGGCCGAAACGTTATCTGAAACCAACGTTATTCCTCACGTTTATTTCTCATCGGCAGTCTTGACCATCAGTCGCCAGTAGTGGTAGTTACCAATGTGGGGAATCCACAACCCACGACTCTCATACACTATACGTTTTCTCTCATAAGTGAAGTTTGCCTCCAGTGCTTGAGTACCACTTATATGATAAGTGTTAAGTGATTTCTGCATACTGTACTCGTATAAGTATGGTGTAAGTGTAACTACCGTCCACATCATATTTGTGGTGTAGCTACAGACCACATGATGGGTGTAGAGTGCCCAGCACCAACCAGATTGGTATGAGATGCATAATAATGCTATAAAAGTTAAAAATCAAAATCACTACAGCTCCTTCATCATCAGGAGGCAACGGATCAGCCAGAGGAGGGCGCTGGCGTGTGTGGCTGCTGCATTTATCTCTCTCATCCTAGTGGCCGTCGGGGTCACCCTTGGTGAGTAGTACAGTAGTAGTAGTATTTGGTTAAAGAATTGTTACACTAACTATATCAATAATTACAGCACAACGCCACTGTAACTTATGAGATGCTTTAACTCCTAACAAACCACACTTATAATCTAACTTTCTCTACGCTTCTTTCACCTCTAATTCGTGATATTTACAGGACTTACCCGAGACAGATGGGCAGCCACATCCAACAGCAGCTCGTCTCACTCTTCAGTAAGTACTGCTTCAGCCAACAAAAACATTATCATTTACAATTATACAAGCACCTAAAGTCAGTACCTGACCAGCTGGGCTGTGGCTCGTACGTTGGATTGCGTGCAGCCAGCAGTAACAGCCTGGTTGATCAGGCTCTGATCCATCATTAGGCCTGGTCACAGACCGGGCCGTGGGGGCGTTGACCCCAAGAACTCTCTCCAGGTAAACCAGACTACTTACGTTAACTGAGGTAGAGTTTTAGCTCTTGGACTCCGGGACTCCTTACATATATTGAATAATGGATGTAGGCTGACGAAAGGGAAGTAGAAATCAGTATTAGTAAAAAAAAAGTTTATACAAGGTTAGTAGTTTATTACGGTCCGTATGAGCATAATAAACTAAGCTAAGTGGCCCGGTGGCCTGGTGGCTAAAGCTCCCGCTTCACACACGGAGGGCCCGGGTTCGATTCCCGGCGGGTGGAAACATTTCGACACGTTTCCTTACACCTGTTGTCCTGTTCACCTAGCAGCAAATAGGTACCTGGGTGTTAGTCGACTGGTGTGGGTCGCATCCTGGGGGACAAGATTAAGGACCCCAATGGAAATAAGTTAGACAGTCCTCGATGACGCACTGACTTTCTTGGGTTATCCTGGGTGGCTAACCCTCCGGGGTTAAAAAATCCGAACGAAATCTTATCTTATCTTATCTTAAACTGTTATACAGACAGGTAAATTCCAACGCCCATGTCTACTTCCCCACGCCCCATGCATGACCTTATTGTCTACCTACACCCACGCCCAACATCTACACTTGCACCTACGCCCAACATCTACACTTGCACCCACGCCCAACATCTACACTTGCACCCACGCCCAACATCTACGGTTCTACACTCTCGCCCATCCCTCACAGTGTCCGTTACAGTGCTCACCCACACCCGTCACCGAACACTTCCTTCCCATTCCTTACCTCGGTCAGTGTTTCAACAGGGTTTTCAAAGTTTTACATAAATAATTCATTTTTTTGGAGTGTTCCATAAAGGAAATTAAAAGCATTAGTTGATATATCTTGCACTGTGAGAGGAAAATTGTCAAGAAGTGTGATGGAGGATATAGCCTAAATAGCATTAAGAGCGAGATGAATAGATGCTGTGGTAGAGAATGTTGATTATGACTACGACCTGCCTAGCATGGGACAGTAAGTCAACTAGGTCCTGCCTAGCATGGGACAGTAAGTCAACTAGGTCCTGCCTAGCATGGGACGGTAAGTCAACTAGGACCTGCCTAGCATGGGACGGTAAGTCAACTAGGACCTGCCTAGCATGGGACAGTAAGTCAACTACGACCTGCCTAGCATGGGACAGTAAGTCAACTAGGACCTGCCTAGCATGGGACAGTAAGTCAACTAGGTCCTGCCTAGCATGGGACGGTAAGTCAACTAGGACCTGCCTAGCATGGGACAGTAAGTCAACTACGACCTGCCTAGCATGGGACAGTAAGTCAACTAGGACCTGCCTAGCATGGGACAGTAAGTCAACTAGGACCTGCCTAGCATGGGACAGTAAGTCAACTAGGACCTGCCTAGCATGGGACAGTAAGTCAACTAGGACCTGCCTAGCATGGGACGGTAAGTCAACTAGGACCTGCCTAGCATGGGACAGTAAGTCAACTACGACCTGCCTAGCATGGGACAGTAAGTCAACTAGGACCTGCCTAGCATGGGACAGTAAGTCAACTAGGTCCTGCCTAGCATGGGACGGTAAGTCAACTAGGACCTGCCTAGCATGGGACAGTAAGTCAACTACGACCTGCCTAGCATGGGACAGTAAGTCAACTAGGACCTGCCTAGCATGGGACAGTAAGTCAACTAGGACCTGCCTAACATGGGACAGTAAGTCAACTAGGACCTGCCTAGCATGGGACAGTAAGTCAACTAGGACCTGCCTAGCATGGGACAGTAAGTCAACTAGGACCTGCCTAGCATGGGACAGTAAGTCAACTAGGACCTGCCTAACATGGGACAGTAAGTCAACTAGGACCTGCCTAGCATGGGACGGTAAGTCAACTAGGACCTGCCTAGCATGGGACAGTAAGTCAACTAGGACCTGCCTAACATGGGACAGTAAGTCAACTATGACCTGCCTAGCATGGGACAGTAAGTCAACTAGGACCTGCCTAACATGGGACAGTAAGTCAACTAGGACCTGCCTAGCATGGGACAGTAAGTCATCTACGACCTGCCTAGCATGGGACAGTAAGTCAACTACGACCTGCCTAGCATGGGACAGTAAGTCAACTACGACCTGCCTAGCATGGGACAGTAAGTCAACTACGACCTGCCTAGCATGGGACAGTAAGTCAACTACGACCTGCCTAGCATGGGACAGTAAGTCAACTACGACCTGCCTAGCATGGGACAGTAAGTCAACTACGACCTGCCAAGCATGGGACAGTAGATCAACTAGGACCTGCCTAGCATGGGACAGTAGATGAACTAGGACCTGCCTAGCATGGGACAGTAGATCAACTAGGACCTGCCTAGCATGGGCCAGTAGGTCAAGTAAGACGTGCCTAGCATGGGACAGTAAGTCAACTAGGACCTGCCTAGCATGGGACAGTAGATCAACTAGGACCTGCCTAGCATGGGCCAGTAGGTCAAGTAAGACCTGTCTAACATGGGCCAGTAGGTCAAGTAAGACGTGCCTAGCATGGGCCAGTAGGTCAAATAAGACGTGCCTAGCATGGGCCAGTAGGTCAAGTAAGACCTGCCTAACATGGGCCAGTAGGTCAAGTAAGACGTGCCTAGCATGGGCCAGTAGGTCAAGTAAGACGTGCCTAGCATGGGCCAGTAGGTCAAGTAAGACCTGCCTAATATGGGACAGTAGGTCAAGTAAGACGTGCCTAGCATGGGCCAGTAGGTCAAGTAAGACGTGCCTAGCATGGGACAGTAGATCAACTAGGACCTGCCTAACATGGGACAGTAGGTCAAGTAAGACGTGCCTAGCATGGGCCAGTAGGTCAACCGTGGTGCTTTTCTTTAATGTTTGTAATTAACATGCTCAGTAATAACCCACACGGAGACAGAAACTCAGAAGATTTATTGATCTGTATATTTCGCTTCCCTTCTGAGATCCTCTTCAGCAGAAGCTGAAATGTACAAAGCAATTAATTTTCTGAATTTGTCTGCATGTGGGTTATTACTGAGCTCTGTCAAGTGTTCACTACACTTTAGCTATCCATTGTAACATGAATTTAGACAGGCATATCTGGACAGGTATATCTGAGGAGGAAATAAGCTAAATTAGCTTGAATAGATAAGTAGGTTTGTAAATATGATAAAATGCCTCGTAAATGTATCATTGGTGTCTCATAGTTCGATTGCTAGGGCACTACGCTGACACATTGAGGTCCTTGGTTTGATCCCCAGTACGGGTGGAAACAGTAGGACGTGTTTCCTTAAGACACTTGCTGTCCATGTACATCTATCAGTAAAATAGGCACCTGGGTTTAGCCGATTGGTGTGAGTCGCATCCTGGGTACAAAATTTACCTAATTTGTCCGAAATGTTCTGCGTAACAAGCGGCTTTCTGTATGGTATGTCACTGATGTCAGCTAGGAATGTTTACCTTGTACATGTACTAGTAAAAAATAAAGATAATTATTATTATTATTAAAGTTTTTTAGTTCTTTACGAATTAGTTATTAGGTATTTGTGCATCCATATGCTTTTACACTACCGTCCGCAGTAATGACATAGGATGTACAGTATATTAAACTACCGGTAAAATTATAAATAAAATTCAAAATTTAATTCGTCTTTCATCTCTTCCCTCCATCTCTCCTTATCTATTATTCTAGTACTGATGTCCGTGACCCCACCTTCTTACTACACAAAACTATGACAGAAGTAGATAATTCCAATCATATAGTCAGAATAGTTAAGGAATCAACACTGCCCCTTACAGGAGCCAGGCAACCTGTGGAGGAGCTTTAGTAGACCACAGGAAGAAGTAGCAACAGGGCCTTCGTTGTCATCAGCATCACAGCACGGCTTGTTCAACAGGGCAGCAGTAGCTACTGACACTGGCCAGCCCTGTGCACATATCGCCATGTACGTATAATGCTAATGAAAAAATCATTATGGTAAGTGGCCTCTAATGAAGAGGAACTTGATATCACTCTAACGTGAGTTACATAAAAAATACAGTGTGTTGTAAGTTTATTCATCAGGGTAAAAATCCATGCTTCACACCAGCATATATTGTATGAAGTTCAGCCTGCTTCAAGGAATATTATTTAGCACAAGTTTCCTATTCATGTCTGTAATGCCGATACAGAACATCCTGTCGCTCTGTCCTTAACTACCGAGCCATCACATTATACATGGGTCACTTTTAATTCAGGAACACCATTAGTCCTGCCATATTGTATCCTCAACTGTCCTGAATTGTGCATCAGCTTATTCATTTGCATAAATCTTAGGGTAATGATAATTTCTTCTGCAAAGATAAACTGTTTTACTACTTCTACTTCTTGCTATCGTAACCTAAGGTCCTCAGATATCCTCTCTTATTAGGCCCTAGGAACTATTCTTTATTTATTGCCCCTTCTTGAATGACTTGCTAAATTTAAATTCAATCTTAATTTCTTCAGTCATTGTATTTATCTGATATCCTAAAGTTATTCCCATGGCTCTGCACTTTTCTGAAGGAAACATATAAAAACACATAAAACGCAAATATATACAACTAAAAAACTAGATATAACTGAAGCAATATTACGCAACTCAATACTTTCAATGTACTGTAGCAACCTTCACCTCTCACAGGGAAATCTTAGGCAATAGTGGAAGTGCAGCGGATGCAACAATAGCGGGGCTGTTGTGTGCAGGAGTGATTAATGCTCAGTCTGTGGGTCTAGGAGGAGGCTTTCTCCTCATCTACTATGAGCGGGCCACAGGCAAGGCGTACTCCCTTAATGCCATGACAAGTGACCCTCCTCCTGCTCAGGGAGACTCCGTCGGTAGAGGTGAGTAAATCAGTCTTCATGTCTGTTGTTTAGTAATGTAATTGCATATTTTATAACTGAAAATTGTGGGCAAAGTGTCATTCTCATGTCACTGGAGGCTAGCAATGCTTCGAGACAAAGATAAGGTATTATATAATTCTCATTTACATGCTTTATATTGGATATTACTGGTTTTTAGTGTATTATAAATTCTAAAATATACTCCTCGATGATTTTGTTAACTTATTTTTTTTAAATGATGACGAAATCCGACTCTGTTGAGATTAACGCTCACGAAAGCATCATTAATATGTTCGGATAACATCAGCTTCAGCAGCAAATTCAGTGTCAGGCACTTATTAGAAACAGTGTAAGAGTAGAATGTGGCACAACGGACCCGTGTCATACAACCTTATCTTACATTCTAACATAGTGTTGCATACATTATAAGACACTACTGTGTATACCTGGAGCGTACCCGGAGAAGGTTTCGGGGGTCAGCGCCCCCCCCCCCGGCGATCCTATTCTGTTTTAAATAAGCTGCAGGACTTACCAGCACATCTTACGATGTAATTTTTTTTTCCGAACTAGACTCATAAGCCAGTTGAAGGTTTCAGTGAGACAACTAAAAAAAGTCCTCTTAGTGGGTCATAATATGAGCAGGACTCGCATCAAAGCTCTCCTGGCACATAATACAGGATGGCACACAAGGTATATGCACACAGAGGCATAATTTAGAACTTTAGAGAGAGACAGCCTTTGTCACATCTCCCATCCTAACTTAATTCACTCATTCGCCATTTCACCCACATTACTTTCCAGGCAGCGTCCGTTTGTCTGTACCAGGTACTGCACATGGTTATCGTCAGCTGTACAAACAGCTAGGAGGCAGGGTGCCCTGGGAACACCTGCTGGAGCCCACCATCACGCTATGTGAGAATGGTTATACCGTCACCTCCAGTCTGGCCAGGGCGCTCAGAAGTGCCTCCCAGAACATCTACTCCCAGCCTAGCATGAGGTACGATGCTCAACAAATTCGACATTTTTGGAGTTATTCACATTGTGTTTTGATACACACACGTGAAACGTCTTGGCAAAGATTAATGTGAATGATACTGTTAATACTAATTATTATATTTTAACGAGTAAGCTCTAAATTCGTAAGGGTCATGCATTACCAGAGGAATCGGAGGTAATAAAGTTTGATCCAAAGAAGGAAGGGCAGCTCTAATTTCCTTGATCAATGGAACTTTGATCAAGGAAATTCAAGGGGTGGTAATGATGATGCTATAATGAGCTGATTTTACAATGGTAATTTTTTTCAACGAACCGGCCGTATCCCACCTAGGCAGGGTGACCTAAAGAAAGCGAAAGTTTTTCTTTTTAAATTTGGTAATTTATACAGGAGAAATGGTTGCTAGCCCCTTGCTCCCTCTTACGATACGCATGGATTACGGAGGAAGAATTCTTTTCCGCTTCCCCACGGAGACAATGGTCATATAATACAAATAATGGTTGATGTTTCAGCATTTCTTAGCAAAGATCAATGACAGTGATAATATCCATGCTATTATATGGATTATTATAATACTTATATAATAATGTTAACATGGATGCGTAATCAGGGTGTTTATATCACAAGTTCACTGGATGACCCTCCACTGTCTCCTGTACCCAGCAGTGTCTTCGTGAACCCAGCTACGGGGAAAGTGTTTCAGGAAGGAGACACTATGAGGCGCCCTCAGCTAGCCAGAACATTGCGACTCCTTCAGCAGGACCCAGACAGCTTATACACGGGATCACTAGCCAAGGACTTAGCTAAGGATCTCGGAGATTTGGACTCATCACTTGAGCTTCAGGACCTGCGAAGCTACAGGTACTTAGATTCAGCTAATTTCTATCAGTAATTGAGTTTATTTTGATATTTAAGCACAGTATACATTTTAGTCAAGTTGCAATACTAACCCTTTCAGGGTCCGTCCCGTAGATCTACGGCTTTATGGTGAGTGTCCAAACCGTAGATCTACGCCATGAGCTCAGCTCACTCTGATAAACTGTGAGTGGTACATTTGGGCCTAGATATGAGAGAATACATATATGTGGTATGTGTGCACCACATAAAACAGATCCTGCAGCACACTGTGTATAATGAGAGAAAAAAAATGAAATCATGATTTTTCGATTGAAACAGCAACTTTGCAGTGTTTTTTCGTATGTTTTTTATAGTTGTATTTGCGATTTCTTGGTCTCATTTGATAGAATGGAAGACATATTACAGAAATAGAGATGATTTTGATTGGTTTTAGCACTGGAAATGGCTTGAAACTGAGCTCAAAGTAGGGGAAATGTTAAATTTTTGCCGATATTCAAGAGTAAACAAACGACCTCACACATCTAATACACGTCAGCTGGTGGGTCTAATATACATTCACAAATATGGTGATGATATTTATACAATTATTACAGTATTGAATAACAGTAAATCTTCTATTTTTTGGTGTGAATAAAAATTCATTATGTGAATAAAAATCAAAATGGAATTTATTTGTAAAGCCTCAAAACATAAGTAATGAACAGAGGAAATGTTAGTTTAGTGCCAGGAATGCCTACATTGTTTATTCTGGACCCTATTTTGAAATTGGAATATTTTGAACTTTGTGTTAAATTGGCCAAATTAACAATTTCCGATCACTTTATTTTGTAGTTGAAACAGTTGACTTGGCGATTTCTTGTGCTCAATCGATAGAATAGAAGTAATACTAGTGAAATAGCTAAGAATTTGGTTGATTGGAATAAGGTAATTGGCCTAAAATGGGAGTCAAAGTCGGCAAAATCGCTGATTCGTAAATATCGCTGACACATCAAAATTCGCGAGAGCATAATTTCGTCAATTTTCCACCAAATTTCGTACTTTTTGTTTTATTACCTTCACAAAAAGATTCTCTACGATTTCATAAGAAAAAATAACAATTTTTTTTTTTTTTAAATTCTTGGACACTGGTGCGTGACTCCAGATTTGGGCCTTGGACCCTGAAAGGGCTAAATATAGCTTTGTAGAATGTTCAGCACTGTATTTAGGTCTCAGTGCTATAAATTTATTGAATTCTAATATTAGTCCTGTTGCTTTGTCAAACATTATTTGGTAAATCACAGAATGGGTGGGGTTGAAACCTGTAGCAGGACAGTACTAAAACTAGTATGCCAGTGCGCTAACTACTGGCTCAGCTCATGGGTTTGAATTAGGGATGGGACGACACCAAAATTCCTGCCGATGTCGATACCCAATTTTCGGCCGATACTCTTCCTACATTTTTTATTTTTAAAATTATAACGACTTTGCTCGATGTGTAAGGAAATTCTTATTGCACAATGTGTATTAAATAACACAGGAAAGTTAAATATTAAATAACTTAATTTCTTTGAAATGATAATGTTATTACTCATTACTTAACCTGTTGTATTAGTTAGTGGTTGTCAAAGGTACTTGTCGATGGTGTGCATACTCACCTCTCTCTGTGTGTGTGTGTGTGTGTGTGTGTGTGTGTGTGTGTGTGTGTGTGTGTGTGTGTGTGTGTTGTGTATGTTACATGTTAGTTTAATATCTATATTCTGCACACCATACCCATCCTCTGGGTGGCAGTCAAAACATTACAGAGGTACATAATGGGTCCAGGGACTGGACCCCAAAGTTTTGATAGCTGAACCTGTGTTTCATGTGTTGTGTATGTGTGTGTGTGTGTGTGTACTCACCTAGTTGTGGTTGCAGGGGTCGATACACAGCTCCTGGCCCCGCCTCCACTGGCCGCTACTAGGTCACTCTTCTTGCTCCGTGAGCTTTATCATACCTCTTCTTAAAGCTATGTATGGATCCTGCCTCCACTACATCACTTCCAAGACTATTCCACTTCCTGACAACTCTGACTGAAGAAATACTTCCTAACATCCCTGTGATTCATCTTAGTCTTCAGCTTCCATCTGTGGCCCCTTGTTGCGGTGTCCCATCTCTGGAACATCCTGTCTCTATCCACCTTGTCGATTCCTCTCAGTATTTTATATGTTATCATATCCCCCCTATCTCTCCTGTCACCTTAACATCTCTTCATAGGACATTCCCCTTAGCTCCGGGACTAGTCTTGTTGCAAACCTTTGCACTTTCTCTAATTTCCTTATGTGCTTGGCTAGGTGTGGATTCCAAACTGGTGCTGCATACATCAATATAGGCCTAATGTAAAGGGTCCTGAACGATTCCTTACTGAAATGTCTGAATGCTGTTCTTCATCAGAGTACAAAACAAATTCCGGCCACAAAATAGACCGAAAAAACAACGTCAAAGACCTGGGAGTGATGATGTCGGAGGATCTCACCTTCAAGGACCATAACATTGTATCAATCGCATCTGCTAGAAAAATGACAGGATGGATAATGAGAACCTTCAAAACTAGGGATGCCAAGCCCATGATGATACTCTTCAGGTCGCTTGTTCTATCTAGGCTGGAATATTGCTGCACACTAACAGCACCTGTCAAGGCAGGTGAAATTGCTGACCTAGAAAATGTACAGAGAACCTTCACGGCGCGCATAATGGAGATATAACACCTCAGTTACTGGGAGCGCTTGAAATTGCTGAACCTGTACTCCCTGGAACGCAGGCGGGAGAGATACATGATTATATACACCTGGAAAATCCTAGAGGGACTAGTACCGAACTTGCACACGAAAATCACTCGCAACGAAAGCAAAAGACTCGGCAGACGATGCAACATCCCCCCAATGAAAAGCAGGGGTGTCACTAGCGCATTAAGAGACAATACAATAAGTGTCAGGGGCCCGAGACTGTTCAGCTGCCTCCCAGGATACATAAGGGGGATTACCAATAGACCCCTGGCTGTCTTCAAGCAGGCACTGGACAAGCACCTAAAGTCGATACCTGACCAGCCGGGCTGTGGCTCGTACATTGGATTGCGTGCAGCCAGCAGTAACAGCCTGCTTGATCATACCCTGAACCACCATGAGGCCTGGTCACAGACCGGGCCTCGGGGGCGTTGACCCCGGAGCTCTCCATGTAAACTCCAGGCTCCCGTTTGCTGCAGCAGCTATTTGACTGATGTGTGCCTCGGAGATGTGCCTGGTGTTATACTCAGAGCCGGATTAAGAAGTCTCCGGGCCCTAGGCTATTCAGATTGGCGGGGCCCCTTTGAGTTACGGGGAAGCGAAGAGACCCCTTCCCGCTTGGGGGTGGGGGGGGGTCGGTGTGAGCCTGTTTAAGGTCTAATTAAATACATTCTGGCTATTTAGATTAAATTTAATAGGGAAAGTACATCAAGACAACCAAAACCATTTACCAACAGCCATTATAACTATCTTGTTAAATCATGTATTTTAAAGAGAATAAACTCAAGACAGCATAGTATTACTAGATTAGGCTATTAAAGTAGTGACATCATGTACCTATTATATTCAGCATAACCACTACAGCACTATTATTCCCTTTATAAATCACTGACCATTATTGTTATCATTACATTATGCATAAGACTATCAAATCATATAAACTCAAGAAAGTAAAGAATTGTTTATATTCACAGGCACTTCTTAAATAAACTTTTTCTGGATTTCATATTGGCAAAATCATCAGTTATATTCTGAAAATCAATATTTCTTGTTAGATCAGACTCAATGGTCAACAAGGCTAGGTTACACAATTTGTCTTGGCTCATTGTTGAACGGAGCTGGGTTTTCACTCTTTTCAAAACAGAAAATGAACGTTCTCCTTCACAATTAGTAGCTGGAAGTGTTAGATAAAGGCGATACACTATGTCAACATTAGGGAAGGTTTCTGAGATACCTGTATTTCTTAAATGTTTCAAAGCAGCTGAGGGCGCACATTTTTCAGGTGGAGCTTTAATCTGATTCATATACCCAGAAAAATGAACTATTTCTTCAACAAATGTGTCCTGAACATCTGCTGAAAGGTGTTGTTGCAACTTTAATGCAGCTTCTCTCAATTCTGCATCTGGCACAGTAGTAATTTTTAACAGAAATCCAAACTTGTCATTGAGATTCTGCTAGATTTCTTTTCTTTTCACCAATTCTGTAATCAGTGAATCCAGAATGACGAAGTATGTAGCTGTCTTACGTTTCTGCCTTGGTAGCAACACAGTTTCATTGTCTGGCTCTTCAAAATTGCGTTTCCTCTTCCTTGACCGCTGATGATCAGCCCGGTAACTGTAGTCTTTCACCAGCAGTTTAGCTTTCTCTTCAAACATTTCAAAAGCTTCATCATTGCGAAGTGAGCTTACAAATTCCACTAAGCCTGCATAGAGGTTAGCACAAGTAGCCATTTCAATTTCAATTTTCTGAAGTTCGTGACATTTAACCGTTCCAGTATACAGTCCCAAAGCACACAGAGTAAGGCCAATTCAAAATCTTCCAATTTTGATGCTAAGCTGGCTGCTTCGCTTCTTGTAGTTGCTGTCTGGTCTTCATCCTCTGCTATTTGGATCAAAGCAGAACGTATTTCAGCAAAGCTGTCTTTCAAAGCATGTGTTGCATCATGCTGCGCTGACCACCTTGTTGTTGATAATGATTTGATGACATCTCATGAATGGTTGACTTGAGTATACTCCACCGATGCGTTTGGAAGCAGAGAAAAAATTAAAGAGTGCTTGTAAAAGTCCAAAAAATGAAACTGCAGCGACACAACACTCTGCAGCACATGACCCAACAAGATTAAGAGAATGTGCTGAGCAGGGCACATATTCAGCAAGTGGGTTGATTTGCTTGATACGGGCTTGCAATCCATTATATTTACCCGACATGTTACTTGCATTGTCGTAGCTCTGGCCACGGCAATCCATAATAGAGATATCATGTTCAAGCAGAGTATCCAGTACTACATTCATCATTGTTTCTCCATCATGGCCTGAAAGAGGAATGAATTTTATAAAGCGCTCTACAGGCTTACCACTGGAGTCGACAAAGCGAACAACGAATGTCAATTGATCTGTATGTGAAATATCTGGTGTTGAATCTACACTTATTGCAAAATATTTTGCAGTTTTCACAGCTGCTATGATGTTATTGAGGACCTTCTTAGTCATCAGTTCAATAAATTCATTGCATATAGTAGATGACATGTAAGATACAGTGCCTCTTCCTGCATTCCCAAGGCGTGACACGTGATTTGCTAAGAATGGATCGAATTGTGCTAACCGTTCTATGATCCCTAGGAAATTGCCATTGTTTTCCGAACCAAAAACCTCATTTTCTCCACGGAAAGCAAGTCCTCTTAGAGCTAAGAATTTTACAACAGCAACAAACTCTTTCTAGAACTTTTCTCCAATAAGTGCGCTCTTTTTCAGTTTGATTTTCCAAATGAGAATCCAATAGGCCTTTTTTCTGTGTACGAAATACACTGGCTAAAATGCAGCTCCTGTGAGTGGTGCTGTTTTCATGTTCCTCGAAACGCTTGGAATTTTTCCAGTCATTGAACCCCCTGTGTGATGGTATTTTCTTTGGTAGAAAATAGCTTGCATGCTGAACAGTACACTTTTCCTGAGCTTTCAGAGTATACCATCCATGATCTTTTCACAATTTCTGAATTTGCAAGCTTCCTATAAAACATAGATGACTTTAAACAACGACGACTTCCATCATCATAAATCCTTGCTGATTTCCTAAAGCCAATGTTCAGAGTTTGACCGAAGTTTTCTGCAATGAAAGCATTACGTAGAGAATCTGGGATTACATTTGGCCATGAGGCAGGATCTTTTAAGACAAATCCTGTGGATGAAATGTCCGTTGAGACATTGAGAGGAGACACAAAAGAAGTAGATGCTGGCTGAGTAATAATGGAGGGAGGGCTTCCTGTATGATCTGACGTATCTGCAGATTCAACTGTACTGGTAACATCAGAAACTGTTTTCGTGAGCATGTCTGTGATCTTTCTGCAGCTTCCTACATCTTTCTTTTTCTGTTCTTCTTCTTGAATTTTCTTCTTTCTTTTCTGTGACCCACTCGCATAAGAACGTGCAACATCACGTTCACGAGATGCCATAATGAGGATGTATCACTGTCTGTAATCATGCAAATACAAATTTTTCATTATCAATTATTATTAATTTTTTAATTATTATTAATGTTTTTCTGTCAATTGGGGGGATATGGCCCTTGTAGCCCCCTTTCCTCTGGCTGCGCATCTAAAAATTCAAAACGTTACCAGAAAGGAGTCATATACAGAACTTTTACCATAGATTAGGTTAGTGATTTGGGCTACGAATATTTTACTAATTCATCCTCCTTGATCTCCAATATACTTAAACAGAAATCATACTGAGTCCAAGAACAATGCACAATGGTATTTATATTACCATTTTCATAACTAAACTAATCATTATGTTTTGCATGATTATATGGCCTACCACCATAGATAAGGACATAGAGAATTAAAGAATGCAGGGACAATTTTCAATTTCACCCAACCAACGATTTTCTGATGTGGTTTATGTGTTTCTGGGGAAATATGTAGTAAATTAATTGATGTTCTACATCACTTCCGTCGCAACTTGAAAACTAAGCATTTGCGACGGAAGTGATTAGAAAAAATCAATCAATTGAGATCTGTTATTGAAATGATAAAGACTTAAAGACAGGACAAAGTGCTTTTAAAACCTACAAACGGAAGTCAGTTTGCGTTTTTAGGTTTTCTTTATAGTATTTTTACCAAAAATGCGTCTTTACTGGTCCATGCGTCTTTACTGGTCAAGTAACCCTATCAGATACCTCCCTTAACATTTAGAGGCGAAAACAAACATTTATCCATACACATCAATGTCTATCAACAACACTTCAGTTAATTTGTCACAGTACAAGTCTAGATAACGTGTAATTACTACAGAAAATTGGAGAGGAATCTCCCATACTCACCCATTAGCGGGAAAACACAGCTGTTCTGATGTAAACAAAGGCGTGTTGAGTGTTGCCATCTATGGTTAGGTTTATTTATTTTTATTTTATTTTATTTCATTTTTTTTTTTTTTAATTTTTAAAAATCAGTTTTACTTTCCGAACACTTGAACTTTTTAGGTAGGGACCCCTTTGCACTTGCACCATGGATGAGCCCCTGAACCCCTTGGACCACGGGGCTTCCAAATGCGCGGGGCCATAGGCAAATGCCTAGTTTGCCTATGCGGTAATCTGGCCCTGGTTATACTCACCTTAAGATCCTTTTCCTTGAGTGAGGTTTGTCGTCTCTGGCCTCCCTAGACAGTTAGACAGTACTCTGTCTGTGGTCTTCTTTGTCCTCCCCTAATTCGTTATTCCATCATTATTCCATCAGTATTGGTGTACCATACCTTCAGTTTCCTCTCTAACACTGTGTTCTGGGGAGTTTGTAGGGGTGTTGGATCTGGCAGTATGCTGTGGGATTCTACAGCATAGTGTGGGCTGGGAGCTGTAAGCTTGGATTGTGGGTTGTGTTGGGATAGCATGTTTGGCTGTGGGGTTCTGAGGGTGGTTCTGTGTGTGCTTATGCTTGTTGCTCTGCCATGCTCTGGTTGTCCTCTGCAGATTCTGTCCTAGTCTCTCTTCCTAGCCCCTTTCATTTATGTGTCCTCTCCCTCAGATGCTGTCGTTCTGTTCTTGTTCTGTTGTGGTCTAGGAACACCCTCTTGTATGTTGATGATTCCTTCAGCTGTGGTTTCTCTTGCAGGATCCTGTGTGTGTGTGTGTGTGTGTGTGTGTGTGTGTGTGTGTGTGTGTGTGTGTGTGTGTGTGTGTGTGTGTGTGTGTGTGTGTGTGTGCATGTGTGTGTAACTCACAATCGTGAGGTAGTGTTAAAGTTGATACTTTTAAGCACATGTAATATTAATATTTTAAATAAAATATCTGCTGGTATCGGCAGTTTTTCACCAATATCTTAAAAAATGGTCGATACCAATACTTTGGTACATCCTTAGTTTGAATCCCACCCTTTCTGTGATTAAATTCCAAACATGCAAATTACGAGTTATTTGGTACTTGTTAATATTTCTTTCGAAGGAAGTCAGCAATCTATTAAAATCTCTAAAATCAGCTTCATTTAGTTTTATACTTGTCATTTACATTTTGTGTCTGACTGATTGATCAAGTTAGCAGTTTAAAGTTAATTAAGGTTCCTTGAGAAGATTTAGAATAAAACCTATTTTTTATGCACTAAATGGAATCCACCTAATTGTGTTGAGTTGGTTTGAGCTGGAACTTTCGGTTAATAATGGTTTATGTTTACATAGGCTATTAGTATACATCTAAAGGGTCATAAAGCGCATATTAAAAAAATTACTAACAGCTCTCGTAATTGATGATATAAATGACACACGTATAATGTAAACAAACAAGCCTGTATATTGGGCATGGCACAATATCAGCTTTGTGATTTTTTTGGGGGGGAAGGGGTACATAAAACTTTATACAACAGATGTTTTAAACTTTTAAACCAAGATAACTCTGCAGTTTTTAAGATATTTTATAACTTACTTTTTTCCAATTGACTATAGCTCAGTATGGAAGAAGCCTGTAAGTGTGAGTCTTCAGCATGGTAACCTCACTATGTACTCCGTGGGGCCTCCTGGCTCTGGCCTCACCCTGGGCTTCCTCCTCAACCTGCTGGACGAGTTCGGTCTCAGCCCTGGCAACGTCAGCGAAGCAAACACGGTCCTCACACACCATCTTCTTGCACACATATTAAAATGGACGTTTACCAAGAAGGTCCAGCTGGACAACACTGACCGTGTGCGTTTAACCCAACACCAGTATAATATTTGCACTTGTACTTGTACTGTATTTTATAAACTTTGTTCACCATATTGCTTAACGAATGTACAAGTAATATATACGTAAAAGATGGAGTGATAGTAGAATATACAAACATCCTGGAGAAGAGATCTCGATATTTTTAATCGAATCTGTTATATATTATTATACTTTTCATCGTCTAACTTAAAGCATATCTTGTTAGAATAATAAGTTCACTTTCCGTCCAGCTTGCCCATGACTTGACCTCCGATGCTTTCGCTGCCAGTGTTCGACATCAGATTCTGGATGATATGAACTTCCATGACTCTGGACACTATGGTGCCGCACCTGGCATGGCGGATGACCTCGGAACTGCCCACTCTTCTCTTGATGACTGTGGCACCTCCCAGTTCTCCCTGCTGGCACCCAACGGTGATGCCATCTCTGTCACTAGCACCCTTAACTCGTGGTAACAAACATCACTCGACATCTTTTTCTGAACTCTGATATTGTATTCATTGTAACTCCTAAATTTATTTTTTACATACACCTAAGAAACTGTATATAAAAGCACTCAATTAATCATTGCCTTATTAATCTTAGAGTAGTTTTAAGTTTGCCCGAAATGCTTAGCATATTAAGGGGCTTTCTGCGCGCGCACCCGAAATGCGCAGGCACGCTAGTGGCTTTCTTTGTAATTAAAATTTTATAATATGTAAACTACTCAATGTAAACTTTTGCAAGGAAATAAACATTTTCATTTTCAGATGTAATTTACCTCTGTACAGACATTGTATCATGTTTAAGTAAAGAATCTTAACCGAAGTTCTTAATAATAATAATAATAAAAATAATAATAATATTATTATTATTACTGTTATTATTATTATTATTATTATTATTATTATTATTATTATTTATTTATTATTATTATTATTATTATTATTATTTATTATTATTATTATTATTTATTATTATTATTATTATTATTATTATTATTATTATTATTATATTATTATTATTATTAATGCTGATGTCCTCAGCCTGGGAGCTGCGATGCGGTCACCAAGAACTGGCATCATCTTCAGCAGTACTAAGGTTGATCATTCTCACCGTCCCTACCCCACTACACCTGATGGGTCCTCCAACACACAAGGTCGGAAACTGAGTCAATGTTAGAATCAAAGCCAGAGATATGTAGTCACATGCGGAATTAAAGTAAAGCTAAAATTGTTGAACTACTGGAAGCAAAACTTGAGCAACGTATTGTGATTCCTTCTGAGTCACCAAGTCGATGGTAAGGACGGCCCGAAACGTCATCCAAGGTGTTGTTTCTAATTTGTGAGTTAGTTGTGCCAGGGTATTGTGATACTGTGGCAGCCAGGCTACTGTGACACTGTGGCAGCCAGGCTACTGTGACTTCTTCAGTGAGGAGTGAGCTGCAAGCTGGATACGATTCTCTCTCTCTCACTCATCCATTTTCTATGTGACAGGGAAGCAGCGTGTTAGCTCCCCCATGGCTCCTGCGGTGGTGGTAGACGGTCGGGGAGAGGTACGTCTGGTGTTAGGGGAAGCTGGAGGTGGATTATCTTCGTCAGGTGTATGGTGGACTGCCCTTCGCTACCTCTGGCTCCATGAAGACCTCAAGAGTGCTGTCGGTGCCCCAAGGCTCCACCTGACTCCCTCCTGGACTCTGGTTTCTGAGGAAGGCTTCTCACCTGTAAGTTTGTTTATGAGGAGCAATTCTCTCCTGTAAGTTTATTTGCGAGTAACAACGCTCCCTTTTAAGTCTGTCTACAGGAAGCAACTCACTCCTGTAAGCGTTGTCAGAATTTCTGTACTGGTGGATTTAAGGGTGGCTTTCTGGTGAGAAATTGAAGCCAGGAGACTTGCTTTGAAGCAGCGTTATTATTACTATTTTTATTACGGGGACTCTGGAGGCTAAGGGAGTTTTGGGGATTAAAGCTTCTCCATTGGCGCCGTCCCTGCCTGTAATGTTGTCAGGCCTCAGTGAGGTAAATCTCTGAAAGGATTCTTGCCTGTAATTATTTATGGTAGGAGGGACTCTTAATCATGCTTAGAATGAAGAACTCGCGTCTGTGTGCTCACTGTACGCACGTTTTGCAAGAAGGATGGATCTTGTTTGCTGTGTTAAGAAGTTCTTATATTTACGTTATACTTTCCTAATGTTAATCATATCGGGATATTGTGTTTTGACCCTTCAAGGGAGAAGGGGCGTCTTGATGCTGGGGAAGGTATTTTGATCCAAGGAATTGGGACTACCCTCTCCTTCCCTGGATCAATGCACATGCCAGCGACAAGTGCATATTAATTCTTCTGTGAAAATACTGTCTCCAGCAAGCTTCCGTGGTTTAATCAGTTGTTACTATATCCAGAGTATACCTGCAAGGTTAGTTAGGTTAACTTTTAGGTTTAACCTTTCGGCTCCTATGATTCGTTTGTCGTGTACTATATTCCATGGGCACAGATAGTTCATAATTAGGTCACTTGAAAGACATTCGAGTTGCGCAGTGGTTTGTAGTACTTGACCATTCCCCAGGATGCAACCAACAACGGTCAATTAATGCCCAGGTAACTTTTTACTGAACGTGAACAGTGGTAGTGGGTGTAAAAAGCACTAAACCCACTGTGTTTATGAAGAGGAACATGTGTTGCTCTGTATAAATTAAGACACTGACATAAGAACTGATACTGATCGACGGGTGATGCCATACTTTTTGCTTGTGTTGTCTTAAATTGGTCATATAAATGCGAGAGATAAGTAATGGTGCACACTCCTTTGTTTTTAAACATGGTTTTACAAGGTTAGGTTAAGGGTTCCTAACTTTATTTACAAGCTAAGAGCTGTTACCTACATGAGACATACAAATAGTGAACAGCATGAAGTTGGAGCCATCTGTGGGCCTAGTGACGATGCCGGATTCAGATGAAGAGAGGCCCTAGGTTATTTCGCTTGTGAGGCCCCTCACAGACCATACCCCCGGCCGGGATTGAACCCGCGGTCATAGAGTCTCAAAACTCCAGCCCGTCGCGTTAGCCACTAGACCAGCTAGCCATGCCCTCGCAGTCCCCAGCCTCATCACTACAAGATGGAAGAATGTTTTAAAAAAAATTCAGTGAAGCCCAGGATGAAGATTGTTTGAAATTCCTAAGTTTAAAATTCCTCCTCTAAAGGATATAAGATGTTATTGTTAAACATCATAATAATTGGAAAAAACATAAATGTTAATTAAAATTAACACTGAAAAACTTTTGCAATGCCGAACTTTGTAAAAATCTTGTGGAATAAGCAGGAATTTTACGAAAATGAAATTGTAAGTTTACTGTTACAGCCTTTGAAATAAATATATTCTCTTAAAATACACATTAAGAAATAAGAAAGCCTAGGGAACGAATGGATTTGTCAGCTCAAAACAGAGTAGGGGAGTTAGTAGATGGGGAGCAGGAGGTATTGGGTAGATGGCGAGAATATTTTGAGGAACTTTTAAATGTCGATGAAGAAAGGGAAGCGGTAATTTCATGCACTGGCCAGGGAGGTATACCATCTTTTAGGAGTGAAGAAGAACAGGATGTCAGTGGGGGAGGTGCGTGAGGTATTACGTACAATGAAAGGGGGTAAAGCAGCTGGAACTGATGGGATCATGACAGAAATGTTAAAGCAAGGGGAGATATGTTGGAGTGCTTGGTATTTTTGTTTAATAAATGTACGAGAGAGGGGTTATTATTGAAAGAGCAGGATTGCAGATGAGCAAGGAGGCTTCAGAATGGGTAGAGGATGAGTAGATCAGGTGTTTACATTGAAGTATATATGTGAACAGTATTTAGATGAAGGTAGGGAAGTTTTCACTGCATTTATGGATTTAGAAAAAGCATAGGATACAGTGGATAGGGAAGCAATGTGGCAGATGTTGCAAGCGTATGGTAGTAAGTTACCAAATGCTGTAAAGAGTTTTTATGAGGATAGTGAGGCTCAGGTTAGGGTGTGTAGAAGAGAGGGAGACTACTTCCCGGTAAAAGTAGGTCTTAGACAGGGATGTGTAATGTCACCATGGTTGTTTAATATATTTATAGATGGGTTATAAAAGAAGTAAATGCTAGGGTGTTGGGGAGAGGGGTGGGATTAAATTATGGGGAATCAAATACAAAATTGGAGTTGACAGTTACTTTTTGCTGATGATACTGTACTATTGGAGAATTCTAAAGAAAAGTTACAAAGGTTAGTGGACGAGTCTGGTAGAAAGTTGAAAGTGAATATAGATAAGAGTAAGGTGATGAGGGTATCAAACTATTTAATTAAAGAAAATTTGGATATCACAATGGAAGGAGGGAGTATGGAAGAAGTGGATGTTTTCAGATATTTGTGAGTTGACTTGTCAGCGGATGAGTTTATGAAGGATGAGGTTAACCATAGAATTGATGAAGGAAAGACGGTGAGTGGTGCATTGAGGTATCTGTGGAGACAAAGAATGTTATCCATGGAGGCAAAGAAGGGAATGTACGAGAGTATGGTGGTACCAACACTCTTATATGGGTATGAAGCTTGGGTTGTACATGCTGCAGCGAGAAGGCGGCTGGAGGCAGTGGAGATGTCCTGTCTAAAGGCAATGTGTGGTGTAAATATTATGCAGAGAATTAGTAGCGTAGAAATTAGGAGGAGGTGTGGAGTTACTAAAAGTATTAGTCAGAGGGCTGAAGAAGGGTTGCTGAGGTGGTTTGGTCATTTAGAGAGAATGTAACAAAGTAGAATGACTTGGATAGCATATAAATCTGCTGGGGAAGGAAGGCGGGGTAGGGGTCGTCCCCGAAAAGGTTGGAGGAAGGGGCTAAATGAGGTTTTGTGGGCTAGGGGCTTGGACTTCCAGCAAGCGTGCATGAGCGTGTTAGGAGTGAATGGCGACGAATGGTTTTTGGGATCTGACGAGCTGTTGGAGTGTGAGCAGGGTAATATTTTGTGAAGGGATTCAAGGAAACTGGTTAGCCGGACTTGAGTCCTGGAAATGGAAAGTACAATGCCTGCACTTTAAATGAGGGGTTTAGGATGTCTAAACTGTTGCATCTGAGCGTCTCTGCAAAGACAGTGATTATGTATCAGTGATGGTGACAGTGTTGAATGATGATAAAAGTTTTTCTTTCTTTCTTTTTGGGTCACACTGCCTTCGTTGGAAATGGCCAACGTGTTAAAAAAAATAAGAAACAAAGAAACTACGATAATTAAATACACTAAAACTAAACAAAAAAATTAAGCCTTCCTCATAGCAAAATCATCCAAAAGTTCATCAAACTTTGTTTGTCTAAGTCTGTCACTTTCAGTGCACAGAATGTTCAGTGCGGACAACTTCTCTTGAGATACTGTGGCCTTTAATTCATTTTTAATTCTCTTGAGGCTTGAAAAAGACCTCTCTCCCGAGCAGTTAGTGACCATTAAGCTAAGAAATAGCAGCAAGTTTACTTCCACATTAGGAAGGTCATCTGAATGTTTTCCTTGTATATAATTTGATAAAATTCTGTATGAGACAGTAACTGCTCTTCTGTAGGCCTATGGTTTTGTCTCAGGTACAAGTGAAAGTGCAGAAGTTCATCAGTAAGTTTCGGGTCAACATTTGGGTATTATGCTGCCATCAACAGTTCAACACCTTGCTGAATTTCTTGTTTAGATGCTGTCAGATTAGCAAGAAGGAAAACATTTGTACAACATCACTGTACACAGTAACTCTTCTTAAACTGGCTTCAAGGGCATCTAGTATAGGAATAAAGGATTTTGTCCTAAGCTTATCTCTTGAAGAGAGTTCATCTAAGGCATCAGGACCAGGTGAACTTCCCTCATTTCCTTGCCGCTTCCTTATTCTTTGTCTCCTTGTGACAGTTCTATTATTAATATTTGGCAAGGTGGCTTTTGCTTGTTGCTCAAACTCATCAAAATATTCTCTGATTTTGCTTAAAAAATCCTGAAGTAAAGAGTAAAAACATGCACAAGTACTCAATAACAGTTCTGATGTCTGAATGACTGTGCTGACCTTGTGAAAATGACCTAGAACACGGGTCCAAAAATTAAACATAAACACAGATTCCAGTTCTCTCATTTTCTGCATAAGATTGTTAGCGTGAAGCCTGGTATCACCCTTCTCATTAACATTAGAGTACAAATGACTGAAGGCCTCAGTGATACCACTGTAACTTTCCAAAATAGGTTATGTGACTTTTGCATTGTGCCTCCCACCTAATGTCTGACAAATATTTAGGCACTTTTGACTTAAGTTGCAAAAATGGTTTTAGAACTGCCCGTCACTTTGTGGAGGATGAAAAAAAACGGTGTAAATTTATTTGACAATGCCAAAACATTTCACTGCATCAAGGCAGCAATCAACAACCGAACGGCTCACCACATTTAAAGAGTGACAGAGCATGGAATAAACCTTGCAATTTTTTTTTCTATTTTTTTTTCTGCTGCTTACCGTTGTACCTATTAGCCATGTTGGCACCATTGTCATAAGACGGCCCTCGGTATTTTCTAAAGTCAAATTCAAGCTCGGTAGTGAAATAGTTAAACACTAAATCAGCCACGCTTTCTCCTGAGTGGTCTTTTAGCTCAAAAATATTATACACCTTAGCCGGAGGACTTCCTAGATTTTGAGGCCTTGACTTCAGCCTGCCAAGCCTTAGATAAATCTGGCACTGGCCAATGATTTCATTTGGTCAGCTGACTTGATTTCGTTAATGTTATTATGCTGTAAGAACATGTTCCAGACTCTAGTCATCCTAGGAATAAATGATCTTAGATGAAGTGAGGTTCTAGAGACTCTCTCTCTCTCTCTCTCTCTCTCTCTCTCTCTCTCTCTCTCTCTCTCTCTCTCTCTCTCTCTCTCTCTCTCTCTCTCTCTCTCTCTCTCAGCACATAATGCAACACATACTCGCCCAACGAGTGATACTTGTATTGCGGTCTTTTGTTTTTTTTCTGATTTATAGTTCAGTGTACTTTTTTACAAGTTATCTTACCTAACCTAATCTAACTTAAAATAAAGAAAATAATATTTTTAGATTTACAGGAAACATTAATGAACTGACGCTGGGAACCTTGTCAGAAAATGAACATAACAAAATAAGAAAAGGTTGCATAATGATCAGCATCTTTGCTTCTTTGCAGAAAGTCATCACGGGTCTGCAAGACGTAGGTCACAGGATACGGAAGCAGGAGCTAGGGAAGACAGACACTGCTGTCTACGCCGTCGCTAGAGAGCAGGACGGGAAGGTGCAAGCTGCCTCTGACCTCCGCAGTCCTGGGGGAACAGTGGACGGCTTTTAATTAACACCTGAGGCCTTACACTTTGCTCAGACATTAGAAAAATAACACTGCAGTAGGTTTACCGGTCCAAATTAGGCAGGTCCAACATACTCCCATTCTCACCAAGGTTAAAACTTCCCAAACAATGACTTTTATTATAAATTATCTCTGGCAGAATGGTCAGAGATAATTAATAATTGAAAGAAGAACTGAAGATGCATTATACTGCCGTAAAATCGAATTTAAGAAGGCCTATTAAAAACTAACATTTTGAGTGATATTTACATAAAAAAAACACAAATCGTACTAAGTTTAATAAGAATGGAAGGCATTTACAATAATCTTTTCTTGAAAAGCTGTGCTGAGTTTTTCTCCAAACATCACGCTTTACCACTCAACTTTCTAAAATATACCAAAGATGCCTCTGATATCTCTAAACATTTTTGTACATTTTTAATTAATATTTATATTTTTATAATTCGTCTAAGAGAGATAACATAAGTCATTGTTATTTCCTTGTTTCGGTATAGTTTACGGTGACCACAGTAACGCGGAGGGGCGGCCATATTGGCGATACCAGAGAGAAACATAATTTGATCGTTAAATAATGAAAAAATGAAATAAAGCTTCCGAAAATTTGAAAGAAGTAGCTTTAAAGTACCGAGATGGTTTCTATATGATAAGGTGAGTTACGAAAGAAAGTTAAAGCTAACAAATGATAAACATCGACATTAAATGATAGTAGATAATACCGTTGTTACCAGTAGTGATGCAGCCACACATTAGGAACTTCCATTTTTCACCAACATATGCATCAGAGAATTTAAAATACTACAAAGGCTTCTAATTATATATTCAGTCGACTCATAACTGTATTTATTAAAAAAAATTATGTTGATACATTATATTGTTGTACACTACCCTGCCGAAAATCTATGTAAACATAGTTGTAACTTAATTATCTGAAAATGATCCACTAACTAGCACATACTATAAAGTATTTTTTTCTGTATACAGTACATGTATTTCTTCTGTGATCAGTTCCTATGCAGGAAACTGAAGGAAACAGTTTCTCAAGCAGGAGAGAAAAATCTCCCTCTATCAGATCCAACAGAAGATGAGTTTTCAGACTTTTTCATAATTTATTAAGCACTGGGTCCAAACAAGCATCATCATCATCATCATCATCATCATCATCATCATCATCATCATCATCATCATCATCATCATCATCATCATCATCATCATCATCATCATCATCATCATCATCATAAAGAACAAAGTTACAATATCGTGGCTGGAACAATACACAAATAACGGGCACACAGGAGAGCTCTTAAATTTTCAGACAATTACATCTCAACATCTATTAAAGACAATTTCCTCAAGACACGTACAGAGTTAAAAGGTGAAACAGCAGTTCATCTAAATTTTAGAGGCACAAGTACAAGCAGTGGAGAATGCCACTCCTCGGTATATCCAACTTAAAATGTTACTATTTTCGTGCCGGGGGGATAACTGCTTTGAAAATTAAAGCCGTTGTACTGATCCTCCCCCCAAAAAATTGCTAAAATCCTCATTAAAGATGTTTTTTTTTTATCCAGAAAAATAAACAACGTCCAATATGGCCGACTTCCGTGAAGACACTGCTGTCCAACATACATAAACACTAGTATGTATTCAGAAATTTATAATTTACTTATATTTGCATTATATATCTTTAGTTCACATTATCTCCACAAATAAAATGGTTGTATGTATTTTCAGGCTGTGTTTATAATATTAATGTAATAAATATTTTAGAGGTATCAATAATTTTAAATATATTAATATATATATTTTATTGTTTTCATATACTCCTATACTGACGCCAAATGACTTTGAACAGGCGATAAATGACATGCCCATGCACTCTGCCCCAGGGCCAGACTCATGGAACTCCGTGTTCATCAAGAACTGCGAGAAGCCCCTATCACGAGCTTTTACCATCCTATGGAGAGGGAGCATGGACACGGGGGTCGTCCCACAGTTACTAAAAACAAGACACAGCCCCACTCCACAAAGGGGGCAGTAAAGCAATAGCAAAGATAGCACTAACATCCTATATCATAAAAATCCTTGAAAGGGTCCTAAGAAGCAAGATCGCCACCCATCTAGATACCCATCAATTACACAACCCAGGGCAACATGGGTTTAGAGCAGGTTGCTCCTGTCTGTCCCAACTACTGGATCACTACGACAAGGTCCTAGATGCACTAGAAGACAAAAAGAATGCAGATGTAATATATACAGACTTTGCAAAAGCCTTCGACAAGTGTGACCATGGCGTAATAGCGCACAAAATGCGTGCTAAAGGAATAACAGGAAAAGTTGGTAGATGGATCTATAATTTCCTCACAAACAGAACACGAAGAGTAGTAGTCAACAGAGTAAAGTCCGAGGTGGGTACGGTGAAAAGCTCTGTTCCACAAGGCACAGTACTCGCTCCCATCTTGTTTCTCATCTTCATATCTGACATAGACAAGGATGTCAGCCACAGCACCGTGTCTTCCTTTGCAGATGACACCCGAATCTGCATGAGTGTCTTCCATTGCAGACACTGCAAGGCTCCAGGCGGACATCAGCCAAATCTTTCAATGGGCTGCAGAAAATAATATGAAGTTCAACGATGAGAAATTTCAATTACTCCGATATGGTAAACATGAGGAAATTAAAACTTCATCAGAGTACAAAACAAATTCCGGCCACAAAATAGAGCAAAAAAACAACGTCAAAGACCTGGGAGTGATCATGTCGGAGGATCTCACCTTCAAGGACCATAACATTGTATCAATCGCATCTGCTAGAAAAATGACAGGATGGATAATGAGAACCTTCAAAACTAGGGAGGCCAAGCCCATGATGACACTCTTCAGGTCACTTGTTCTATCTAGGCTGGAATATTGCTGCACACTAACAGCACCTTTCAAGGCAGGTGAAATTGCCGACCTAGAAAATGTACAGAGAACCTTCACGGCGCGCATAACGGAGATAAAACACCTCAAATACTGGGAGCGCTTGAAGTTGCTGAACCTGTACTCCCTGGAACGCAGGCGGGAGAGATACATGATTATATACACCTGGAAAATCCTAAAGGGACTAGTACCGAACTTGCACGCGAAAATTACTCACTACGAAAGCAAAAGACTTGGCAGACGATGCAACATCCCCCCAATGAAAAGCAGGGGTGTCACTAGCACGTTAAGAGACCATACAATAAGTGTCAGGGGCCCGAGACTGTCCAACTGCCTCCCAGCATACATAAGGGGGATTACCAATAGACCCCTGGCAGTCTTCAAGCTGGCACTGGACAAGCACCTAAAGTCGGTACCTGACCACCCGGGCTGTGGCTTGTACGTTGGATTGCATGCAACTAGCAGTAACAGCCTGGTTGATCAGGCTCTGATCCATCATGAGGCCTGGTCACAGACCGGGCCGCGGGGGCATCGACCCCCGGAACTCTCTCCAGGTAAATTTCAGGTACCATATACCACGATCGCCAGTATAAATTGACCTCCATGTTACCAAGGTAACTGAGTTGTCAGGATTGTGACAGTTATGAAATTATACTGTTTCTGCCCAAAAAAATTCTTCACTCTTTTATTTCAAGTAGGGAAGGAAAAACTTTACTTTGAAACGCTTTTTTGGTGAAAATAAAATGTTTATTTATGTATTGATATGACGGAGGCCTCGTTGTAAATGACCATTACTCATTCGACAGGCTTAATCAATAAACCAAAATCTCACCATGTTAGTCTGCATTCATTTTAGTCCTTTAAACATGGATACATCCTCATTGTGGTGTGTCTTAGCATTATTTTGATTTTGTGAATGTGTTACAGCATAAAAAATATTTAGACTGGGTGAGTTCTCGTTCCTGGTCTACTTAAGTGTTGGTCTTTGGATCCTGGACCTTTTCAAGGTGTTAATCTGAAGGTCTTAGACCTCTTGAGTGTATCGAGCTAAATCCCTTGATAAGTTAAGGCATTTGCCTAGCTAAGTATATATATTTTCGAAACGTTTCGCTTACACATTAGGCTTTTTCAGCCGATTTAATATGAAGACAGAAGCGATGGAGAGGTAAAGATGATGCTCCGCTGTCTCCATATTTAGTCACCTCTACTCGACTAAAGAAGCTTTATATGGATGCGAAATGTTTCGGAAATAAAGATACCTAACTGTAGCACGTGTGCTTACTCATCTACTTGTTGGTATTTTATACCATTATTACAATAATAAAGCTCCTAGGTTTCTAAAGTGTTGAACTCCAGCACCTGGACCTCTTGCGAGAGCTAAGCTATGCCCCTTACGTCTCTTAAGGTACCTAACCAACGGCTCCTCTCCTCTGCCTCTTCAGGCTTGACGTGCATCCATTATACCTCTTGCGTACATTGAGGTAATGGGGCCAGCCACATTATCTCAAAAAACGCAGGAGGCATGCATACCTATGAAATATGGGTTATAGCTTTCTCGGATCGCGCTGCGACCGAAACACATCATTGTTATTTGTATTAATCACCATTATCACTGACTAGTCTCCCACCAAGGTAGGCTGATCAAAAAAAAAAAACAATGAAATATTTACTAATACTATCCAAAACGTGACTTTCGGAGTTGCTTACTTGCTCACGTCAGGCGTTCCTCTCCTACGGTCCTCGCTTCCCATGTATAGGATAGGATACTCCTGGGTAAGACCCATGAGGGAAATTTGGATAGCAGAAGAGAAGCTAGGGAGAAGAATGGCTGAGAGACTGAGGGAAAGAGCCGGAGCTAGACCCAACCGCATGGCGTTGGTTGGCCAGAGAAGAGGGAAAATGCTGCCAGTTGTGCTGACTGTGAGCTTGCCACCCGAATGCGTGATCCAGATTCAGGTGGCAAAGGACCAGCAATAGACAGCTCCTGAACGTCATTCGCAAGGTTGCTGTTTCTCGAGTGCTGTTTGGATAGATGAAGAGAAATACAGAATTGATGGCTAGAAAAGGGCGTCTTAAAAGGTCCACCCTGCAGTGGACAGGGCAGAAAGATTAGTTAGAGAAGAGGAGGATTAGGGTTATAAGATTGAAAAAGGTTTTGAGGGTTATGTGGCCGTCTTACGATTTCGTTAAGATATGTTTTCCATGAGTCTGGTGGGTTTCCAGTCGGTCTGTTTGTCTGTCACTAAGCTCTTTCTAGAAGACGTTCAGCGCTGGGGTGCCTGTCCTAGTGTGGAGAGACTCGCTAGTAGCAAAGTCGCTCCACACTACACCCAACACCCAACACAGTGCACGGTTCTGGATTCGCTGTAGTTTTAGGACATTAGTCTTAGCAGCTAGTGAAAGAGCGAGAGGTGTGTATGTAATGAGCAGCCGTATAAGCGCCTTGTATAGGCACTCGCCTAATTGTACTCACCTAATTGTGGTTGCCGGGGTCGAGACTCAGCTCCTGGCCGAGTGCTGCTAGGTCCTCTCTCTCCCTGCTCCATGAGCTTTATCATACCTCATCTTAAAGCTATGTATAGTTCCTGCCTCCACCACCTCACTTGCTAGGTTATTCCACTTCCTGACTACTCTATGACTGAAGAAATACTTCTTAACATCCCTTTGACTCATCTGAGTCTTCAACTTCCAATTGTGACCCCCTGTTTCTGTGTCCCATCTCTGGAACATCCTGTCTCTGTCCACCTTGTCTCTTCCACGCAGTATTTTATCTGTCGTTATCATGTCTCCCCTGACCCTCCTGTCCTCCAGTGTCGTCAGGCCGATTTCCCTTAACCTTTCTTCGTAGGACATTACCCTTAGCTCTGGAACTAACCTTGTCGCAAACCTTTGCACTTTCTCTAATTTCTTGACGTGCTTGATCAAGTGTGGGTTCCAAACAGGTGCTGCATACTCCAGTATGGGCCTGACGTACACGGTGTACAGTGTCTTGAGCGATTCCTTACTAAGGTATCGGAACGCTATTCTCAGGTTTGCCAGGCGCCCATATGCTGCAGCAGTTATCTGGTTGATGTGTGCTTCCGGAGACGTGCTCGGTGTTATACTCACCCCAAGATCTTTCTCCTTGAGCGAGGTTTTCAGTCTTTGGCCACCTAGCCTATACTCCGTCTGCGGTCTTTTGTGCCATTCCCCGATCTTTATGACTTTGCATTTGGTGGGGTTAAATTCGAGAATCCAGTTGCTAGACCAGGTGTCCAGTCTGTCCAGGTCTGTTAGGTAAGACACATATGCAACAGTTAGGTATCTTTATTTCAAAAAGTTTCGCCTACACAGTAGGCTTCTTCAGTCGAGTACAGAAAAGTTGACAGAAGCAGAAGCGACGTGAAAACGATGTAATTAGTCCATCACCCTTGAAGTTTTGAGGTGGTTAGTCCCTTAGTCTGGAGAAGAGTATTGTTCCATAGTCTGAAACAATATGGAGTTGAAGTGACAGGATGGAGCCTTATATACCGCCAGGAGGTGAGATGTAGGTCATAAGTAGAGGTAAGAATGTAGTCGTTGGGAGGTCACGCCCCTCTCAAATCCAGCCATTCTCACTAGCAGAAATTTTCAAAGTTTTCTGTTCTGTACCAAGTTACCATTGTGTTGCAGTGTCTGACAGAGTGAATATTAAAATGGTATAAAATACCGACAGGTTGTTAGGTAAGACACATACGCAACAGTTGAATATGTGTCTTACCTAACAACCTGTCGGTATTTTATACCATTTTAATATTCACTGTCCAGGTCTCTTTGAAATCCTGCCTGATCCTCATCTGATTTAATTCTCCTCATTAACTTCACATCTGCGAACAGTGACATTTCTGAGTCTAACCCTTCCATCA